TTTATACAGGATAAATGTAGCTATTTATTCATGATATTTCAAGACTATCCGCCAGAAATTGCAAGATATTTCCAAGTACAAGAATCCATAGACGTATGATTTTTCACAACATCTGCTGATATAGGTTTTTACCATAGCATGTAGAGTTAAACCTCAGGAAAGGAGAACGAAGAGAAGAGTTGCACCACGAGATGTAAAAATTGGAGAATAAAATTGTAGAAATTTTCTGATGATGTATTCACAGCAGCTTGTTTCTCTTTATACAAGTAATCTAGCTAAAAGAAAATATAAAATGAAATTAATACTGTACACTTGTTCAATTCCTATTGTCTAATGCTATAACAGAAAAACTAAATTATTCCCTAACATGTGCTCTCACACCCTTATCTGTATAGCCAGATTTGCCATATCAATGGCTCTTATTAAAATGCTTCAAGGGTTGAGATCTGTACACGTGTAAACTGAAATGAGCAAAATAAAACGGATCAAAATAAAATGGATAGAAAAAGACATTTATCTAGAAGACTCCGAAGTCCTTTTGCTATGTTTGAACCCCGTCTTCTTCTTCATTTCTGTACAAGATGAAATCTCTTTCATCTTCTTCGTTTCTGTTTCTTCTTCTTTCAAATTATTATGGGGTTTCATCTTAACATCCCCCCTCAAGTTGGAGGGTGAAGAGAAAACCCCCAACTTGGGCAAAATCTGATGGTGAGAAACCCCAGTGAGGGGCTTGGTAAAGAGATCCGCGAGCTGAAGCTTCGAAGGAAGAAAAGAGAGAGTGATTAAACCTGAGAGGTACTGTTGCCGGACGAAGTGGCAATCCAGCTCTACATGCTTCGTTCTTTCGTGGAAAACTGGATTTCGAGCAATGTAAATGGCTGCTTGACTGTCTGAGTGGACGGTGACCGACAAAGTAGGAGAAGTAGATAGATCGGCGAGGAGACGAACTAGCCAAGTTATCTCTGCAGTGACACGCCTCATAGATCGATATTCTGCCTCGGGGGAGGATAGTGAAATCAATACTTGCTTTTTCGATTTCCATGAGATTGGAGCTCCCCCGAGGGTGATGAAGAAACCACTGACAGAGCGGCGAGAAGTCTTGCAAGCAGCCCAATCAGCATCGCAAAAGGCAAGCAGATCAAGAGAAGGATTTGCAGATAGGAGGATGCCTTGTGCTGGATCGGTATTCAAATACTTCAAAACACGCATCCCAGCAGAAAGATGCAACATTTGGGGCTTTTGCATGTATTGGCTTAGAGTGAGCACAACAAAACAGATGTCCGGGCGGGTGTTTGTGAGGTAATTAAGCTTACCAACAAGGCGGCGATAGATAGCAGGGTCAGCTAAGGGAGGTGACAAGCCAAGATGCAATTTGGAAGAAGGATCCAAGGGTGAAGATGCGACAGCTCCTGAACAACCAAATTCCTCCAACAATTCTAAGGTAAACTTCCTCTGATTGATGATAAAACCTTGTGGCTCTCTAATGATTTCCATCCCCAAAAAATAGTGAATATCCCCCAAGTTTTTGACTTTGAATTCTAAATCAAGAAAGTGGGTAATATGACTGATTTCTGCAAAATCATTCCTCGTAAGTAAGATATCATCTACGTAAACTGCTAAAATAGAGATGCGACCTTCATTGTGTCTAAAGAACAAAGAATAGTCATTTAGAGAAGCTAAATATCCTTTGAAACTAAGTGCACCTGCCAATCTACCATACCACTATCTAGAGGCCTGCTTCAAGCCATATAGGGACTTCTTCAAAAGACAAACTTGATTAGGAGTAGGTGGAGATAGCCCAGGAGGAAATCTCATGTAGACTTCCTCTTGTAAATCCCCATGTAAAAATGCATTATTGACATCAAGTTGCGACACCTTCCAACCTTTCTTCACTGCCACAGTCAAAAGACATCTTATCGTGGTCATCTTGACCACAGGTGAGAATGTCTCAGAATAGTCAATACGTTCTCTTTGGATATCCCCCCTTACCACCAATCGTGCCTTTAACCTTTCAATGGAACCATCTGATTTGTTCTTTACCTTGTATACCCACATACAAGGTAAAGCTTTCTTGCCTTGTGGCAAATTCACAATCTCCTAGGTTTTTTTGAGATCAAGAGCTGTTAGCTCTGCTTCCATAGCCTTTCTCCAACCTGCATCCTGAGAAGCTTGGAAATAATTCTGAGGTTCTGAAATAGAACATACTGAATTTATGACATTTTGATTGTGAATTGACAAAGCTGCAAATGGTAGAGTAGTGGGAGAAGATGCATGGTTGAAACAAGATGAAGTAATGTCAGACAAAAAAATCCCATTGCATACATAGTCTTTCAGATATCTAGGCTGTTGAGAAATCCTTTCAGATTTTCTGATAGGTGGAGGAGGTAGAGGGATAGTAAGGCTATCAGTAGGAGCAGGTGTGGGAGAAGAAAGATTTGGAGACATATGTGAGGTTTGTCTAGAACTGAGATCATTAGGTGAAGGGGAACCAGGAAGGTTATGAGTGGGAGAAGGAAAAGAAAAATCAAAAGAACTAGAAGGAAGAGGTGTGATATGGTTGGTACTAGGAGAGCCAGTGTTGCTAGGACTAGAGGAGGATGAAGTAGATGGTAAGGTAGATGAAGGTGATAAGGGCATGGAATCAGGAGAAGTGTTGTCTGAGATAGGTGAAGTTTGAGGGAACACCTGATGAGGTTGTGTTATAGGTGTGCTGACAAAAGGAAAATGATTTTCATAGAACTTCACATCTCTAGACACAAATATAGTTTTTGTCTGTAATCCTAGAAGTTTGTAACCTTTTTGATGTGGTGAATATCCCAGGAAAACACATGTCTGTGCTCTAGGATCAAATTTGCTTCTGTTGTGGGCTAGAGTAAAAGCATAGCACAAGCATCCAAAGACCTTTAGATTGTCATACACAGGTGGTCTACCAAACAAAATGTGATAGGGAGTCTTACCCTTAAGAACTTTGGAGGGGAACCTGTTAATTAGGTAGGTTGCAGTTAGGATGCACTCTCCCCAGTATTGTATGGGAACTCTAGATTGAAAGAACAATCCCCTTGCCACCTCTAGTAAATGCTTATGCTTCCTCTCAACTATTCCATTCTGTTGGGGTGTCCCCACACAAGAAGTTTCATGTAGGATCTCTTGTGAAAGCAGAAAATCAGATTGTTGTGTTCCCCTTCCCAATTCTAAGGCATTATCAGATCTCACCTTCTTCACTTTCACATTGAACTGTCTTTCTGTCATGGCAAAGAATGATTTTAGGACTGTGAATGCATTTGCTTTTGAACTTAGCAGAAAGGTCCATGTCCCTCTACTAAAATCATCTACAACAGTTAGAAAATATTTATAACCATTATAAGTGTTAGACTTGAAAGGACCCCATGTATCAATGTGTATAAGATCAAATATCCCATTTGTCTTGATTTGGCTTGTGGGAAAATGTAGTCTAGTCTGTTTAGCTTGATGACAAACATCACACACATGATCAAAAGAGGAAGGAAAAGAAATGAACTTGAAAGATTTCATTACTTCAAAAGGTAAATGGCCCAATCTAGCATGCCATTGGATTACATCAGAAATTACATTCATAGACACAGGCCTTAGACTAGAAACAGTACTAGGAATGGAACTGGAATGATTTCCTTTTGGAATTGAAAATGCATTTTGACTAGAAACAGTAGGTTCTGCACTAATGGAAATAGGATTCAGCAGGTACAATCCTCCTCTTATTTCACCAAAAGCTTTCCCCTCCTCACTAAAGGGACCTGCAATACACACCCACTAGATGTCAAATTAAGAGAACATTTGAACTGGATGCACAACTTATGAACAGAAAGTATACTTAAAAGATGGAACATAAAGAACCCTCTCAAGAATCATGTCATTTTGAATGGAACTCTTCCTATGTGTGTGACATATAACTGGAAAGAGTTAGGCAAGCTAATATGAACAGGTATAGGAAGAGGAGACAATTCTAAAAAAGAGCTTGAGTCAAAACACATATGTTCAGATGCCCCTGAATCAATGATCCAAGTTTTAGTGTTAAACACTGCCAAACATGTTCCTGAATACTTAAGAATAGTACCAGCAACTGCATTTGCATTGATTTCAGATCCTGTATTTTGCTGCATTACCAACTTGAACCCGTCTGATTATATTAACTAGTTCTGAAATATGTTCTCTGCTAAAGGATTGATTCTGGCTTCCTACTACTCCTTCATTGTTAGGATTTGAGTTGGTTTCATTCTCCTGTCCTCCTATTGCTGCATTCTTTTTTGTTGTGGGCTGATAATTGTTGTTTTTGGTAAACTGAAAATTATCTGGGTAGGGGTGTTCATAAAAACCCGAAAAACCAAACCAAACCGAAAACCAAACCAAACCAACCAAAAAAACTAATACTTTTTGGTTTGGTTTGGTTTTGATTTTGAATTTTAAAAACCAATCAAATTTGGTTTGGTTTTGGTTTTAATCAGAAAAAACTGAAAAAACTAAACCAAACCGACTATAGGAGTAGCTATTTCAAATTTATTATTACACACATATATATATATGTATATTTTTATATAAAGTTTCAAAATTTTTATGGTAAATGTTAATAGTTTGCATTTTTAGTATAGTTCTTTATCTTTACATTCTAGTTTGATTGGTAGTTTTCTTTTGTTAAGTGTAAGAATCCATTTTGTGTTAAAAATAATATATTTTTAGTTGAGTCCTTAAATTATTCATCACTATTTGATTCAATTATCATCAATATATCTTGGTAAATAATAGATTTCTCAAAGGGCAATTGATTTGATAGTGCTACGTTGAAAATGTGGTCGCCGAAATATGTATTTGGTAGTGTATGTCTTATATTTAAGAAAAAACTGACAAATAACAGAAAAAACCGAAAAACCGACAAAATCCGACATAAACCGAATCGAGAAAAAATCGACTTAATTGGTTTGGTTTGGTTCTAATATTTGAAAAACCGACTTACTTGGTTTGGTTTCTTTTTAATAAAAAATCGATCCAAACCGAATCATGAACACCCCTATATCTGGGAATCCAATTAGCCTGTAGCAATCTGCCCTAACATGTCCTGTTCTCATGCAATGAGTGCAACTGACATTTGGATTGTATTTTGCCTTCTTAGCTTTGCTCTTTTGCTGCTGATTGTTTCCAGATTTTGTAGAAGGATTCCCTCCCCTTTGTCCTTGATTGTTGTACCTTAGACCACCCTTTCCTTGTCCAGCAACCATAAATGAAGATGCATCTGAGTTGAGTTGAGGACTGACCATATTCACAAAAACCTCTCTCTGGTTTTCATCTTGTAAGAGCAATGAATAGGAAAAATCCATGCTAGGGAGTGGACTCATGATGAGAATGTTTCCTCTAGCCTGAGCATATACATCATTGAGCCCCATGAGAAATTGCAGGATCCTTTGATCCTCTAGAAACTTAGCCACTTTAGCCTTTCTACCACATGCACAATCACAGGAGCAATTTAGATGAGAGCTTAGAGAGTCCATTTCATCCCATAGTTTTTTGGGTGTAGTGAAGTAGCTTGAAATGTTGTTATTTCCTTGAACTGATGTTGAAATTTCCTTTTGTAATTGGTATAGTTTGGCCCCATTTGATTGGCCAAATCTATGTTCTAGACTGTTCCATAAATTTCTTGCTGTTTTGGAATAGATGACACTGTCTCCTATATCTTTTGACAGAGAATTGAGCAACCATGAAGTCACCATATCATTAGCTCTGCTCCACAGAGGATGATCTCCTGAGTCAGGCTTAGGTTCTTCACAAATCCCATCGATGAAGCCAAGTTTTTTCTTGGCTGAAAGAGCAATGAGAATGGATCTCCTCCAACCCGGGAACCTCTCCCATCAAAGGGCACATTGACAAGACTCATCCCAGGTGAATCTGAAGAGTGAAGGAAATAGGGATGATTAGAGTCAAGGTTTTTCATTTGACTGGTTGAACCAGTAGCAGTGATGGTTGGGGTAGCTTCTGCTCCAGTCATGGATGAAGATTAGAAGAAGAAGAAGAAGATGATTGAATCTGGAAAGTTGAAGGATCGAGCTAGTATAGCTCTGATACCATGTAAAAATTGGAGAATAAAATTGTAGAAATTTTCTGATGATGTATTCACAGCAGCTTGTTTCTCTTTATACAAGGAATCTAGCTAAAAGAAAATGTAAAATGAAATTAATACTGTACACTTGTTCAATTCCTATTGTCTAATGCTATAACAGAAAAACTAAATTATTCCCTAACATGTGCTCTCACACCCTTATCTGTATAGCCAGATTTGCCATATCAATGGCTCTTATTAAAAGGCTTCAAGGGCTGAGATCTGTACACGTGTAAACTGAAATGAGCAAAATAAAATGGATCAAAATAAAATGGATAGAAAAAAATATTTATCTAGAAGACTCCGAAGTCCTTTTGCTATGTCTGAACCCCGTCTTCTTCTTCATTTCTGTAAAAGATGAAATCTCTTTCATCTTCTTCGTTTCTGCTTCTTCTTCTTTCAAATTATTATGGGGTTTCATCTTAACACGAGATGCATAGAGGATATAACATTCTTGAATTCCACCATTCGGTGCTTGGTTTCCTCTGTTGCCAGATTCTCTGTGTCTCTTAGAACCTGACAAATACAAAACATATCTGTAACCAACAGATGAAGAAAGTAAAGGCCGTTAAAAGCCACAAAAATAAGTTACATGCAAATGTATTGTTCAATGGACATATTTTGTAACTGAAAAAGTTATTAATAAGCTATGGTTGCATTGGTATTATTATACGATGCATTTATTCTTAAGGCGAATAGTATAAAATAAATATAACATCCTAAAGAGAAAGAAACCAAATTAAAATGGTGCCTCTTTAGTGCCACTTCCCTCCTTATATGCAGTTTCCTAAAATTCACATTCATTCCTCAAATATCCTTGGCTGATCATGAAGATCTTGAAGACTCTCTTCAATCGGACTATGATTTGGCACGAATGACAGAAGCAGGTTTTTTTGTGGCTGATTACCAATATCTTAACTATAAGATAAAAGCTGCTGCTGATAATCTTAAATTAGCGATTAAGGAAGTCTGCGACGGCTTGTTCAAAGATCTCATCAAACACATTGATGAAGCCCTTAATCATATCAACATTTGTTTAGAATCAAATCCACCAGATCAAGATGTTTATTATCTTGAACTAGTGATCAAGAATATTAAGAAATAAGCTCTCTCAAGATTAAGAAATCAAGGATTAGGACCTGCAGCCTTAACCCCTGCCTAACTTAGTGACTTAGTATTAAGCTTCCTTAGAAGAATTGTATTTCAATCTTATATAGGTAAACATTGTGCCTTTCTTCTAATTTATAAGGTTAATTACCGGACTGGGTCCTTACTACAACAACAACAATAACATCTCACACGTGGGGTCTGGGAATGATAGTGTGTACCCTTACCCCTATCCTGAGAGAGTAGAGAGGTTGTTTCCGATAGACCCTTGGCTCAGAAAAGCGAAAAGAGATAATATATCAGTAACATCAACAGATACCATAGAAATAATAGCAGCATCATAAGAACCAGAAAGTAGGTGAAAAGCAATAACAATAACTGGTACTATGAAAAACGGAAGAATAGTGTGAACATAACATAAACCACTAGCAGTCAAAAACAAAACCTTATCAGACTAGCCTCACACCCGGTACGAACTATCAACAAAAAAATATGCTCAACTACTCCTTAGTTCTTACTGTTTTTGGTAATTCAAATCAGCATAGGCTTCTAGAATATAAGGTTGGAACTTGCCAGTTTTATGCTATTGCTACAATTGAATTTTACATTCCTGTCCAATCTGTTCTTGGATAACTATGTGTGCCTTTCAGAAAAAAAGGCTAATTATGGACATTTCGAATGTCACTTGTAACAATGGTTTGATGAATAATATTATTCCCTCTGTTTCAATTTATATGACACTCTTTTCTTATTAGTAATATTTAGAAACAATTCAACTTTAAACTTTCCATTTTACCCTTCATTAGAAGCTTTTTCTAGCTATACAAACGTCGTGCCCTACAAATCTTTTGTTCCTTAAGCTTTTGAGATCACAAGTTTTAAAAGACTTTTTTCTTTCTTGAACTCCATGCTGATTCAAGAAAAGTTTGAACATAATATTTGTTCGAAAATCATTGATGATCTCGTTAATGATGTTTGAACAAATATAATAATTAAGTGTACAAACATGTTAATGTTAGGTGTGTTTCTGCTGATGCAACTTCTGTAAATTGCATGTTTTGATGTCTGACGAATAACTAAGAATTGAATTAGAATGGAACCAGTTCCAAAAAAGGAGAAGAAGTTCATTTTTCTGCTTCTAGCTCTAGGCTTGTGACTGCTAAATGTCTTTGTTACTTGAAGTTAGAGCATGTATGGCATTACATTAAGTCATTGATTAACACTTTTAAACCAGCAATCCAGGCTTCTACAGTTTTACATTTTCGTTTGAACATATAGAAGAGCAACAAATGCTAGACTTATGATATTACACAACAGCTGCTGATGTTGGTGTCGCCAAAGCAGATAGAGTTGAACCTCAGGAAAGGAGAATGAAGAAAAGAGCTGCACCGCGAGATGTTTAGGGGATATACGATTCTTGAATTCCATCATTCGGTGCCAGATTCTCGGTGTCTCTTAGAACCTGCTAAATATAATTCAGTTAGAAAATCATAAACTGCTGAACTACTAATCCTGAATGAAAATCAATTGAATGCAGTACATAAGACATCTATAGCAAATAAGAGTACATGCTTATACTTCTGTAAATGTTAGAGAACTTGGAATATGAATAGTTTAGACATTGGTAAAATAGATTTGAACCAGAATATATGTAACCAACAGATGAAGAAAGTAAAGGCTGTAACAGCCATAAAAATAAGTCACATGCAAATGTATGTGACTTAGTTATTAATAAGCTATGGTTGAATTTGTATTTTATTCGTAAGGCGAATAGATAAAGATGAGAAATAAATATAAAATTGTGCGTTTCTTCTAATTCATGCTGCCCTGATTTAAGCTACTGAAGAAATATTCATTCTGATATATTCATATCAATGGAAGATGTTTACGAGAATACCTATTTCAAAAATATGTTAATACACAGACGCGAAGAATGTTTGTTTCCATTTAATCAGGATCAAGCAAGTTACCTAAGAGCAGCTCCTTTACATTTCTGAGAGACTTCATTAGAGGTTAAGAGTGAGATTTGCTTCTCTTTTGTTGTCGCGTCATTTCCCTGCATGAAGATCATATCAAGTTATGACAAAAACTTAAGATCCCAAAGTTTTTCTTGTGGAAGAGAACTTACCAGCATATCGTTTATCCATTCCAAGAGTTCGTCCACGAAAGTCCAGGATCTTTCCTTATATATCTTGATCAATATGCTGAAGTAGTTTACAACCTGTACCAAAAAAATGTCTTAACAAAGCTACAGAAATACAGGAAAATTCTATCACTAGTATTCGGAGGTCATGCTTCCTACAGACCTGTTTGATGATTTCTATTTCCAGTTCAGTCGCATTTTCCTCCTCTGAGAAATGTTTTCTTGATGTTGCTTTCAGCACCTGTATTATCGCATTAGCTATCCGCTCAATCTTCTTTTCGCTAAGAAATGCTCCAGCAATCTGTAGACGAGACGAGAGAAGAATTTAACCACCAGAGAAAGAAATGATAGTATATGAAATTGCCTCGGTTGAGGACATGACCAACCTTGATGCATTTACTTAATGATTTCAATATGTTTGCAGATATTTCACCATCGGTTTCCTGCATATAAAATGTAACTCATGGTCACTGAAAACAACAAACAGAAAGAGAAAAATGGTATAAACTGTGATATCATGTTCGAATAGAATAAATATTGTAGGTTACCTTATTCAAAGCTTCCAGTAGGGATGGTACAACGCGGCGCACCAGTTTATTCAGATAGGAATTTGTAAGGTTGAAAGCAACAACTTGGGAATGACTTGGACAACAATTAGGTAACCTCCAAATTGCTTCTTTCTTCTTAATAGAAAGTTTTGCTGAAAGCAACAACTTCGGCATGGCTTGGACAACAATAAGTCATCATATTAGAAGGGAAAAACAACAGATAAAATCAAAGAAAAGGGAGAATGAAATAATAGGAAACAGCTTTTTCAAGTAAAGCAGATACCTGAAACAGCTATGTTTCTAATATCACCATCATGAAATATCACAAGTGGTATCAATATGTCAGAAATCTGCGCAAATAACGTTTAAATAATGTCACATTTGAATAAGAAAGTCATATGCAGAATGACAAAAACCATAGCTTCAAAACCAACCTGATCGATCCATGGAAAGATCTTTTCTTTGAACTTACTAGTTAAGCGAAATAAAACTTTACATGCCATAAGTTTCTCCGTCAGAATAACATGTTCTCTGGCACTGTAGAGAACTGCAGTGTGTTAGTAGAAAGCCAAAATGTATTCTAGCTGATTACCTATTCTAGTTGCCAACTTAAGTATATATAACATTACTCAGTAAAGTTTGTGCAAAATCTATTGGCTATCATTAGAAAACTAAAAGTATATAGAGAAGAAACAAACCTCCAATCAACTGTTTTGTCAATTTCTTCATCTCTAAAGCCAAGTCTAGCAGACTGGAGCAAATTAGGCATAAGATCTTTCACATATGGATAAAAGCCAGATCCGAGACAAGTAAGAAGCTGCTCCCATGCCTTCCACATAAATAAAGAACACATTATATTGGAGCACTTTGGTACAAGCAAATTAAGTAAACTTCATTTTCTTCAAATGGTTTGGATCATACGTACTCGTAGAAGGGTGACTTTCAAACTATGATCATCCTCTGCTAAGTACCATCGCACAGACAAGAGAAGCGCCATGACCTTACATACATGAAAGTTCTCAAAAAAATTAGTTATAGAGGCAAACTGTAATTACGTCAATACACCTTAAATACTACAGATTCGAGTGCTTGTAAAAGAAGTAACAGAGAAAAATCACCTCTTTAGCATCTTTCTTAAATATATCCTTTCCAACAACCGTTGCAACTGTCCAAATGCACTCAACAGCACTGTCTTGCAACGATTTACTTGCAACCGATGGCCAAATCATATCATCAGCTAAAAACTTCTTTAGGTAAGTGATGACCAGATCATAGCATTTAGCGAAGAGATCCTGTCAAAAAAGCTTGTCAGACACCACCATCAAATCGGAATCACCAAGGAAAAACTAAGTCAGAGTTTCTATCAAGATGGACCTTTGATGATCTTGCAACCGATGCTAGAGTGTTTAAGGCCTCGGCTTGCAGCACAGGAGTTGGGCTCTAACGGGAAGCAAAGACTAGATAAGTGAACTGATCATGTTAAACAAAAGCAAATACAAAATGGTAAACACCTTCAAATTAGCACAAAATGGTATATCTTTTTCCTAGAAACCTTTATGCTGATCTAATTCAAAGTTATCGGTGTAATGGAACAGTACTTTTCATTCATTAAAATCATAGTCCAATACACTATAAACTGTCTAAAGTCAAATATAGGAGCATATTTTTTGCAATAAACTGTCTACCTGGACGAGGGCAAGTAATTTGCTCACAATTGTGTCCAAGTAAGGTTCTAAAATGCATGAACTGCAACCCTCACAAAGATAATTCATTGCCGAAGCAGCAACAGCCTACAAAAATTGATTTATTGTCATAAAACAATAAGAGAGTTCATAATAAGGAGGATGATTGTAGCAAAATTTCATCAGAATTACGACTTAAAGTAGACGAACAAAACCCTGTCGTAGTTGCTTCCATGTCAAAATGATACTGACAAGGAAAAACCATTCAATATTTGAATTTGGCTATTAGCATAGATTAGTCTTCCTCACCTGTCTGTGGGGATAGTGGTCATCTGCAAGTGCCAAATATAGCGAAGTAATAAGCATGTGACCGTGTTTATCTTGCAGATCCGGAGACAGTTCTAAACTCAAAGCTTTTACTGTTCCAATAGCAGCAAGACGAACATGGGGAGAAGAATCTAGTATTGATTTCAGGACCATATTCATCACTTCAGAAAGATGATCCCTCATCGCCTGAGAGTAATAAAAGAATACCAACGGTTCTTTAGGTAAAAATGGAGTCACAACTTAGAAAGAATAGGTCTTGCAACTTCTAACCAAGAGGTTCAATCACTCTAACAATATAAAGCATGAAAAACTTCTGTAATTTTCATTGACATAACCAGGATTTTTCGGGGAAAAAAATAAATAAACATTCATTGTCCAAACCAACTATCCTATCATATACATATACTGCATACGCACAAACACACACACGCACACACGTACTTATATGAAATGTATATGTGTATATGCTTTGCATATACCTTTGCACATCCTTTTGCAATGACACCAATGATTGTAACTGCTGCATATCGTTTCTGCCATTCTGGTGCAGATATAAGAGTTGGTAATTCCTTGAGTAAATCAGGCATACGGATTTGATCACCTGTTGCCATTGAAATCCTATACATAAAAGTTACTCCAAGAAGATAATTCCGCGAAGTTCCCAAACATAAACCATTCACATAGTCTACATCACCCATTGGTTCATCCTCAATACGCGAAATCATCTCAACCAACACAGAAAACAGCTTTGTTAGGATCTTTTTATGTACCCGTTTTATCACGTTATCATCAAAAACACTCATCATTTCTACAGCAGGATATCTTGTATCTTCTCCGAATTGATTATTCTCAGCAATGGTAACCATAGTATCAAACACTTCATCCAAATTTGACTCGAAAAATCTTGGCTCAACCCATACTAACTCGACTAATTTCCTTAGAATTTCATGCGCATACTCCTCCTCATTATCATTAATGAGAAAACTCAATAACCCTTTTACCATTGGCATCAATAGACCATTTAACAGAAAATAATAATCACTAGACATTTGTCCAACAAGATGAATTGAAGCAGCCAAGGCTAAAACTTTTCTCATTCCATTACAAGAATTAAGCTTATCCAAGAAGTCTAAATAGAGATAGTTAACATAAGGTTCCAATTGTGTACGTAGACTCATTGGCAACTTCAAAAAGAACATAAGGGCAAAATCTTGAACGAACGATGGACCCGAATGTAAACGCTCGTAAAAGCAACTGAACATACCCGGCCACTCGCCTTGTTTCTTGGTAATGATACAGTTGAGTACCGCAGATACTGTCTTCCAGATTGGCTTACAAATTCTACTGGAATTTTCATGTCTAAGAATTTCAAGAAACGCGATTTTAAGATCGGTTTTGATCATGGGGGAGATGGAATTCCATACACTCTCATAATGACTAGGCGAATCGAGCAGATTCTGAAGAAGAGATGCAGATTTGGATTTGATTTTAGGGCGAGTCAGAGAGTGAAGTAAAACCTTTGAAATTTTCAAAGACAATGCATTTGGGTATTCACGAATTAAGAAATTGTACAAGTTTTCGGCTTCTGATAAACCTGTTTCAGTAGATGATGTTAATTTAGCAATGAGTGTTTCTATTGCGTCATGATTTGGAGAACCAAGAATGTCTCTGGCTTGGATTCGAAGAGCGTCTTTTTTGAAATTTCGAGGAGCTCTGGCTTTCTTCCGGGGCTTGTTATCGTCATCAGCCATTACAGGGCGGAGCTTGTCGTTTCTTTTTGGAAGAATATCTGATTTTACAGGAAGGAGTTTGTCAATTTTGGAATTCGGAGGAGAAGCCATTGTTGCAGAGAAACAGAGAAGAGAGTGAAGTGTAAAGAGAAGGGATTTTGGCGGAATTAAATATATTCAGTTATAGCCGTTTACTCATTTGGCGGTTATTAACGGCCTTTACCTGCCTACGTGGAATAAAGACAGGAGAGGTTCTTTTATTTTATTTATTGTAAATTTCAAATTCTTTTGGTGTTGTTTGGTTAATATACTAATTAAAATTATAATGCATAACTTATTTATGTAGTGAATACTAATGAATGGGTTGTTATGTGAGGAACAATATATAATTTAGGGATTATTATGTGATAATATATGAAAATATTATGTAGGGAGTACTTATTTTTTTCCTCGCACAACTAATACTCATATTCTTATTTAGGAGTATTTTATACTGTGTCTTACATAAAGTAATAAAGAGATTTTTGCATAATGCATGTATGCATGTATATATTATTTAATATTGTTAAGCAAACAATGCATTGGTTATGTGATTATTGATTTTCAAATATTTTATCACTTTATGCGAAATTCTATATATATTTAAATTTTATTACCCTGAAAGTATTTCTTATTCCAAAGCTTGTATTCTGTAATTCCTTGTATATGCAATGAGAACGATTAGAGATGGAAGCATTATGCTCTTTTTTTTCTTTTTTTGGTCCTTTTAATTTCTTGAGATCAACGTATTTTTGTTGCGAGATGGACAGTAAGAACAAGAGTTCAATTTCAGAATTTAGTTTATTCAGCTAATTTAGATAAATGTTTTTCATATTTATGACGCAGTTTACTTTATGTTTATCTAGTGTAATTCGGCAGTACAACTTTGGGAGTAAGATGATTGTATTATTATAAAGTCAAAATATTAGTAGTAAATAATAATGATAGCAGTTCACTATTTTCATAACTTTATGTTGTTTCTTTAAGGAGCGGCAATTATAAAGGGTGGGTTTATTGGTCTCTTTTTTTAGTAGTATTAGTAGCTCTTTTGTTTTTTTTTCGTATTCTTTGACCTCTAGTATTTGCTTATTGTATCCTACTTTTCATTTTGTTACTATTTGATGCTACTTTCTCTTTTACTTGTTTTTTTTTTTTTTTTTGTTATTGTTGGTGTCGTCTTTTTTTCCTTTTCCTTATCGTCCTTTGTCTCCCAATTATTTCTTTCTTCTTCCCTTCTCTCTCTTTTTATCTTTTCTTGAGCCGAGGGTCTATCAGAAACAGTCTCTCTACCTTGCCAGGTAAGAATAAAGTTTGTGTACACACTGCTTTTTCCAGACCCCACGTATGAGATTATATATAGTGGCTATGTTGTTGTTGGTTCTCTTTCAACTATGGTGCTGGAATTGTCTACGACTCAAGGAAAAAAATAATAGTAATAAGATAAGAGGAGTGTATCTATATATACCTCTCTAAAATGTCCCAATTAAATATATAAAAGTATAATACTATGTCAAAGTTTAGAGTTCGTTTGGATTGGCTTAAAAAAGTGATTTCTCATCAGAAATTTAAGTCGAAAAGCAGTAAAGTTGGGGTTGCCCAGCTTATTATTTTTGATTTGTTTCAAGCAGTTTTTAACTTATTTTAAGCACTTTTTAACCTTGCCAAACACTGAAAAAAACTAAAAAAAAGCTTAAAAACTGATTTGACCAGCTTAAAAGGCAATCCAAACATCCTCTTAATTAGGTGTGCTTATTTTGAAATTTTGAATTTTACAACAATTGAAAAAGATAATTTCTAATGATGTTTGATTAAAAAAAATATTGAAAGTTTTGTTCAACTTTATGTGAGACAAACGTCACCTTAAGTACTTTATAAGGACTTGACAACTCCCCCCAAAAAAAGTTGACAAGAGTAACGTCGTAATGGTAAAAATAGCACGGTCTAGCTAGTTTTTGGACTGGTCATTCAAAAATAGCCAGCGTTTATCAAGTCAATGAAAAATAACCACTATTTTGCTGCAACAGAGACCGGTCCAGCATAATATACTGGAGTTCGGTGCACATGTGTATGAACTTCCAGCATATTATGCTGGAACTCCAACACACGGAAAGTTCCAGCATAATATACTGGAGATTCGAGCACTTGTGTATGAACTTCCAGCATATTATACTGGACCGGTATACTTTGATGGAACTCCAATATATTATGCGGGAGATCTAGTGTACTTATGCTGGAACTCCATCATATTATGCTGGAGTTCCAGCATACTTATCCTGGAACTCCAGTATAATATGCTGGAGTTCAAGTATACTTATGCTGGAACTCCAGCATAATATACTGGCGTATTTTCCGGGTTTTGAATAGTATTTTCGCTTAGATTTATCTTTACATGAAAAGTGGCTAGATTTCGATTACTTTTGAAACTGGCTATTTTTGAACGACCACTTGTAAATCTGGTTATTTTTAAATTTCTCCCGTCATAATGCACTTGGTTTACTTAGCTATCTAGTGTTAATAGCAAATCATAGATGGTTGTTTGCACATAAAATTTATGACTAATTAATCACATAGCTAATATATACTCTCATCTCAACATATAATAATTAAGTAATTTATCTAGACAGAGTGATAATGTATTAGTTAACTATAATTAAGTGATAAAAATCTACGTGCACACTCCTGCATCAGTTCGCTGGGACAATTCGATGGTATTAGTAAATCTTGTTTTTAAAAAGTTCTTATTACACTTATAATCTGAGGTGCTTTTTTTAACAGATATGGACTTCTTTAATTGGTCGCATTGCTGTTGACAGTCGCGTTTAAATGTCATTGATTTATTTTGAGGTTCTGACAAAATTAATTGGTCGTAGACTTTTTGTTGAACTAAGTAAGCCTGTTTTTTAAAAAAAGTAGTTTTCCTCTCATGGATTTCTTCCGCACTAACTTAAGACAACCACTAGCCCATTATATTTGCTTGCAAGTTATAAATAAAAACTTATTGCATTGGCTACAACAAAACATTCGCTAACCCACCCTAATCTTTTTCATTCTGCCTCTTTGTTGCGTCGATCTACACCATCCAACAATTATCATAACCCATTATAAATATAAGTTTTTACTTTCTCAATTTGATAGTTCTTGTAGTAAGATTGATATTACATGCACTTAATAGATTTTATTTTTAGTCAAGATATGGTTACAGAGAAGAGAAAAAAAATTCGCTATACATGGCAGGGCGTTTTACTATACATTACTCCATTGATAATGAAAATTTTTCAGTTGCCAAAAAAAAATCAATTTTCTGTTTTTGCTTGTTTTGCATCTTTCCTTTTAAGAATTGTGGAGTATACTCCTTTTTTTTGTTTTTTTCTTCAGAAACTTGAAATTTTATTTGTATAATACTACGTAAGTCCAAAACATAGGATTCGTGGAGTATACTCCATTTGTTACAATTCCTAGATACACTAACAGACAATAAATAATTAAAAATCACAGTAAGATGCATCACATCAATTATGTAATGACTGATTTTACAAACGTATAGTAATTCAATATACAAAAAAGACTGTCACTATAAAAAAAAATATACAAATACATTGTCACTATACAAAAAATTATACAAAAGGACTGTCACTATACAAAAAAAATATGTATATATAATAGATGTCACGATACAAAATATATACAAAAAAGACTGTCACTATACAAAAAATATACAAAATAAATGTCACTATACAAAAAAGATTGTCATTGCACAAAAATATACAAAATAGATGTCACTATACATAATAGGCTGTTACTATACAAAAATATACAAAATAGATATCACTATATAAAATATATACAAAAAAAACTATCACTATACAAAAGATATACAAAATAGATGTCACTATACAAAATATATACAAAAAAGGCTGTCACTATATAAAAAATATACTAATTAGGCTGTTACTATGCAAAATAGATTGTAACTATACAAAATATACAAAATAGGCATTTTGGGCTATTAGATGGAAGGAATTTTTACCTCCTATAGTAAAGGTTACCACCTTATTTATTTTAAATAAATACCATTTAAAAAATTATATTCTATAGATACCTTTTAAGGTTTATAGCAAAATATTTAATTTTGGTTACCTCCTAGCCCTAAGCCACTAAATACGCTATCCAGTTATACTATTTTCTTTCTCTCTCTAGTTTGATACATCCCATTCTCTTCCCCCATTCTCTGAAAATACGATGCTCAATCTCAAAATTCCTCTCACCGAATATTTGAATTGCGATTTCTCTGTCATCAATACACTCTCTCTGAAGTTTCAAAACCACTTGAGTTTACTATGTATTCAAAGGTTAATCTGTTTATCCCTTTGTTCATTCTTCATCTGTTGGTTGCTGCCAATGTTAGAGGGCACGAGATCAAGAAAGGAGATTTCTCTGTTAAGGTCACTAAAAGCAAATCAAATCCCTAACCAAACCACTAAAAGCAGGTAATGAAAATAAGATGACGCGTGTTGTACCTTCAAATCTCAAAGGCGTCGCGTGTTGTACCTTCAAACGTTGCTACGGCGGATTCGCCGGAAATTAGGGTTTGTTCTTGAACAAAGACGACGGAGTTTGGGGCTAAGCAACTTATTTTCTGTTAATATATTTCAATGTATTTTCATGTATTTCATTGTATTCATTGTCTTTTTTTTCATTGTAATTCAATGATCTCGTTGTATTCCATGCATTTCATTGTATTCACTCTCTTTTTTCCATTGTATTTCAATGTATCCCGTTGTATTCTATGTATTTCATTGTATTCACTGTCTCGCTATATGCCATGAATGTATTCATATATTTTTTTACTTAATATAATTTATGTATTCAGATGTATTATATAATTTCTCTAAAGATTGCTATGTTTTTGGGATATTTTTTGGTTGAGAATTTTTTTTATAACTGAAGATACACAATTTGTGTGTTATAATTGAGTTTGTTGAGTTATATTAGGAGTCTATTATGTTAATTGATTTACTTTCCGTTTTAAAAAAAAAGTGTAATATCCTATTTCACGCCATGAATATAGTCGA